CAATCCCACGCATTATGAACAAAACCTCATGATTGGTTGCGGATCAAGTGGGTATGGTCCAATCAGAGGGAGCCATGGATTGTATTGTCTAGGAATGAAACCCAAGTCTCCTACATGTAAGGTGAGAATTCTACTACGGAACCACCAATACTCCCAATATTAATACTAGACAAAGTAAACTTCAGTATAAGAAATATTAGCAGGAAATAAAAAGCAATGTTTCATAATGATAAAAGGATTGTGGAGATATAACAATTCTAAAACTGTGTGCACTTAAAAAACAGAGTAGCAACATATATATAATGTAAACCTATGGAATCTATGGCATTGAAGGGAGAAATATACAAAACCATAATTACACTAGAAGATTTCTGAACTCTTTCTTTGCTAAGTAATTGAGAGAAAGTATAGGGGAAAAAATCAGTAAGAAAAGACTAATATTGCCAAGTAGTTTGATCAAATTGACATTTATAGACTGTTTTACCAAAAAAAAAAGAAATTTGCACATATTTTAAAGTACAAAAAGAACTGTCACTAAATTATAATAAATCGTGGGACATAAAATAAGTCTTCACATTTAAAGCATAAATGTACACATAGTATATTCTCTGATCACACTAAAATTAAATTAGAAATTAGAAACAAAACATATCTGGAAAATCTCCAAGTATTTACAAATTAGACACTGCACTCCTAAATGACCTGTATGATAAAACAGAAATCTTTAAGGAAAGTAGAAAATATTTTAGCTCGATAGTAAATTAAATGTAATCCATTGATGTTGAGTTGATTCTAACTCATAATGACCCTACAGGACAGAGTAGAACCACATGATAGGGTTTCTAAGGCTGTAAATCTTTACAGAAGCAGACTGCCACATCTTTCTCCCATTGAGTGGCTGGTAGGTTCAAATTGCTGACCTTTTGGCTAGCAGTCAAGCACTTTAACCACTGTCCCATCAGGGCTCCCCATAAATTTAAACATAAGGCATTAAATTTATAAGATTCAGCAGAAGCAGTAATTAGAAGGAAATTTATAACCATAAATGCTCACATTAGAAAGAAGGTCTGAAATCATTGATACAGGTTTATCAATTGGTTTTAAGTATCAAAATAAAAGTAAGTAGGAGAAAAATAGCAGAAGTCAATTAATTAAAAAAAAAAAAAATAAGAAAGCCAATTGTTGGTAATTTGAGAAGATAAATAAAACTGACACTTCCCAAAGACTATTTAAAAGGGAGGGGTGAAGAAAAGAGAAAAGGAACATGATTTCCAAGGGTTTATGAGTAAAGTGATGACATTACTATAGATCTTGCAGACATACAATCATATACCAATAAATTTAACAACTGGGATGTAAAAGACAAATTTAATAGTGGGCAAAAGAAACATTTACAACAACCAACACAAGGAGAAATAAAAATTTGAATTGGTCTAAATTCACAATATATATATTTTTTTAACCAAC